GCTTCCCAGGCGGTGCGGTCGGGAGCCTTTGGTCAGCGTGTCGCGCCGCCGCTGCTGGCCCGCCACGTTTCGGTGCGACACGCTCAGCACGTCCCAGTCCGTCCCGAGCCTCTGCCTGCCTCCCGCCATCAGCGGAGCGGCTCGACGCGCCACCAGCTTGCAAGGCGCAGCGTGTCGCTGGGGCCGCCGCCACGACACGCTCAGCACACGTTCCTGCCCGTACAGTCGGGGCCCTGAAGAAGGAACCCTTTTGGTTGGGGAGGGGCTCCGCGTTCCTTAAGTGTTTCACAGCTTGCCTCAGGTTTTCCTGATGTTTTCGATCGGAAATCGAAGTTTAACTTATGGAAAAAAGGGGCCTCGTTCCTTATTTAGGGTTCCTTAGGTCAAGGCCCCGACTGTAGCCTCTGGCCGACCGTTCCCGCCGCGCGCCTCTGTCGGGCACGTGCGAGAGGGACCCTTCGCCCGAAGGACCTCTGGAGCGCGGCGTTGGGCAGGCGCGGGGAGGAGGGGCTTGGCATCGCTCGGACGTGTGCATTTTTCTTCGGCGAGGACCATCGAGGAGCATCCTTGATCACTTCGCGAAAAAACCACGCACGAAACCGAAACAAAACACAGGAAATGGACGTCCGAGCGATGGCCAGGGGGGGGGGAGACCCGAGCACGCAGCCCGCTGCTGCCGCATCGCACCCGGCGATCGGCAAGCCGCGCACCAGAGTTCATTCTTGCCGAGGGTCACTCTTGCGTTTGCAGCGCGCGCGCGCGTCGAAGAAGACGAAGAAGACGACGAAGAAGAAGAAGAATAATAATAATAATAAGAAGAAGAAAGATAATAATGAATCATACTATTATTATTATTATTAATAATAATAATAAGAATAATCATAATATTAATATTAATACTAATAATAGTAATAATAATGCTACTAATATTATCACCAATACTACTACTACTACTACTACTACTACTACCACCACCACCACCACCACCACCACCACCACCACCACCACCACCACCACCACCACCACCACCACCACCACCACCACCACCACCACCACCCACCACCACCACCACTACTACTACTACTACTACTACTACTACTACTACTACTACTACTACTACTACTACTACTACTACTACTACTACTACTACTACTACTAATAATCGTAATCGTAATAATACTAATACTAATAATAATACTATTAATAATAATATTAATAATACTAATAATAATAACAATAATAATAATAATATTAATAATAATAATAGTAATAATAATAATAATACTAATAATATTACTAATAAGAAGAAGCACGCCTGCCAGCAGGACCCCCCCGAGACATTTCCTACTCCCCGATTGTCCTGTGGGCCTCCACCAGAACCCTGTGGCACCCTACGCCGCTTGAGATCGACGGAGCACGTAGCTCCCCGCGCCTGCGAGTGAAGAGTGAGGGGGTCGGCGGCGCGGGCGAACCGTCCTCACGCGCAGCCCCCGGGTGCCCAGGTGTGGCCCCCAGGTGCTCCACGCCCCGGAGGGCCTGGGCCCTCCGCGCGCGCGCGGGGAGAACGCCAAGACCGCCCATGGGCCCCCTCGCTCCGAGGTGGCCCCCGGGCTGCTTTCGGCGTCACCCCAGCATGCTGCTGCTATGTGTGTGCGTGTGCGTGTCGCCCGTCTGTGGCTGTCCTGGCAGACTCCCTGGGATTGCACGTCCGCTGGCCTCTCAGACGCCCTGGGTTGCCGCTGCCTCGCCGCCTGATCCGCGGCTCCCGCGCGCGCCCGCATTTAGTCGCGGCCGCAGCCCGACCGTGACCGCTCGCCGCTGGCGCTTCCGCCTGCGGCTGTAAAAAAAAGCGTGTCGCCCGCCCGGGGGCGACGCGCGCACCGAGAAACCTTGCGGCGCATGCGTCGCGGCGGGGGCGCTTTCTGGTCACACCGCTCGGGGAACGGCACGCTGCAAGACGGGTATGCTGCATGCTCGGGTCGGGCCTGCGCCTCCAAGTGAGGGCGCAGCGTATCAGTATGTCTCTGTGCATCCCATTTTTGATCGTCACTTTGACATTTTTGTTGTCGCACGCGTCTGCCGCAACTGGTCTTGACGTTGACAGTGGTGATGGGCCAATTTCCCACCACCGCTACCATCCGTAGGACGGGGGACAAGGGAGGATAGGGAGGTCCTCCTCCTCCTCCTCCTCCTCCTCCTCCTCCTCCTCCTTCTCATCACTCTGTCACCTATGGTAGTGGTTGTGGAAAATCGGCCCATCGAGTGGAGGGACTGTGCACCGCGGTGAGTGCGGTGAGTGCGGGCGGGCGGGCGGGCGGCCGAGGTCGCAGCCGGTGGCCCTGGAGGCGCCCGCCGCGGGCGCGGGGGGATCGCGCCGCTCTCTCCGCGCCGCTCTTCGCGCTCGCCGGCGCGCGCCGGCGCGCGCTGGCGAGTCGGAGGAAGTCTGCACGTAGGAGTGACCCTTTGCCGGAGTGACCTTTTTGGGTGCGGGCTCATCTGGGTCCCCCGATCGCCGAGCGCGAGGTGCTGGCGGCGTCCTGCGCGCCTGTGTTTGGTGTCCCCCGGCAGCCTCCCAAGGAGCCCCGCACCGAAGGCCACTCTCATCCAGGGTCCCTCTCGCGTGCAGCCGAGGCGGAGGTGCCGATGCCGCAGCTCGTCCAGGAGGGCCCTCGCCGCCATGGCCGGATCCTCCTCGGGGTGCTGGTCGGAGGGCGCCCTGGGAGAGGTCTGGGATGCCGGGGCATTCTCTCTCTCTCTCTCTCTCTACACTTATATGTCGGGCGTGTCCCCCTACAGGGGGATTTTCGATGAAAAAATACAAAATACCCCAAAAATACCCCCAAAATGCAACACAAATATTCAAAACATAGTCCCCAGACTAGTTTTGGATTATTTTTGGATCATTTTTGGGATATTTTTTTCATTTTTCGTCGAAAATCCCCCTGTAGGGGGACAGGCCCGACTTAACTCTACACACACATCCATGCCTCTTCTGTCCTCGGTGGCGCCCGCTGTTCTGCCCACGCTCGTCGAGGGTTGGATCATCGCAGTGCTCCCCATCTTCGTGGGCTTGGACTGGCCGTGGTTTGGTGTGGTCCCAGGCCGTCCACACCTGATCACTTCCCAGGGAAGCAGTCTCAGGTGCTTCCCGAAGTATGCTCGGATTTGGCGCACAAGCCATGACCTTCCTGTTGGGGACCAGCCTTTTCCGAGAGCCAGACAGTGCTGATTCTCTCGATCCTCGCGCTCTGCGTCGTCCCCGGGCACTTGCTCGCGAAGCAGCCGCGAAAAAATCGCACAGGTGCAGACGAGGACGATGAGAAGGAGGACGACGAGGACGATGACGACAGCGTCTGAGGGACAATGACGCTGTCTTAGTCTTGATGGCCATAACATGATTGCAGTGGGCAGTCTATGTGAAGGCAAGCTGCGCGCGGCCTGGCATCAGTCTTGTGATTCGCAAGGCGAGTCAGCAGCACATCATGGGCAGACGTGAGGTTTGAGGAGTAAGAACTCCGTTGCACCAAGGTGTCGGCGAATTTCATCCTGTGGCTGGTGCGCTACAGACTGGCTCAAAATCTAGAAGCGTGACCCTGAGAAGCGACTAAGAACCCCCCCTTTCGGGGTGAAACGTTAACGCGGCCATCACACTGAAACGTCAGCCTGGCTCTTGGCGCTCACTGGCCCCTGGGGCCATCCTGTCACGTGGTCCAGTAAGGACCCTGCTCGTGCGCCATGCGAGCGGAGCCACTGAGGCCTTCACGAGACTTCCGATGGGGCTACGAAGCGTGCGAGAGCTGAGCCGGCACTTAGCACACCATGGTTTCCATGTCTGCGCGGCATTACCGCCGTTGGTGTAAAACATGCTCACCATGCATTTGTGTTCAGACCCCCCGTGCCCCCCAACTTCCTTGCTCAGCTCGGGGAGCAGCCGCCACCACCAACCGAACCACCCCAACCCGACCCGAAGGCCCCAATCTGCCCTCCACTCCCAGTGGGGAGGGGGCGTGGATCTTCGGGTTAGGTTGGGATGGTCTGGTAGGTAGTCACACCGCCTTCCCCGGGCAGCTTCGGTGCCCAGACAGAAAGTGTCCACACCCAGGGCGGGAAGGCGACGCAACATGATAACTCCCACAACTGCGAAATGCCCTTGCTTCGCACCCCTCCCCCCCAAACCCAAAGTTGAAGTGTCCACATTTTGTCACTGGCCTTTGGCCTACCGCCCAAACCCGTCAACTTTGAGTTTAGGGGAAGCGGGGTATATACTAAATACATGTTGCTTCGACGTGCTTTGACTCAAGGTCTTGGCGAGACACGAGTGGACACTTTTAGTCCACCCACGCTTGCCCCAGGAAATTGTGAGGCCGTGGGCTCTTCGGTTGTCGTCGGCATGGCCGGAGGCACGGCATGAGGCGCGACGGGAGACGGGGCGGGAGACAGGCGAGGGCAGACGAGGGGCACTGCGGGCACAGCAGTCCACTCCCTCCTCCCTCCTCCCTCCTTCCTCCCTCCTCCGTCCTCCGTCCTCCTTCCGCCCTCCTCCCTCCTCCGTCCTTTCCTCCCTCCTCCCTCCGCCTTCCTCCCTCCTCCCTCCTCCGCCTCCTCCTCCGCCTCCTCCTCCGCCTCCTCCTCCTCCTCCTCCTCCTCCTCCTCATCCCTCCTCCTCCTCCGCCTCCTCCTCCCCCGCATCCCAGGAAAGGTACTCGAGAGGTACCCCTCACGGTCAAGGGCCACGTGGGGGTCCAGCGGACATTTGCCAGGCATCCCGTCGCGTCAGCTTCTCCCGGCGCGGTGCAGCTCGCCCAGCCGATGACCAGTCGGATCCACTTGGCATCGCTCGGACGTGTGCCTTTTTTCTCGGCGAGGCCCATCGAGGAGCATCTTGGACCATCCTGCGTTCAGACATACACGCACGACACCGAAGCAGGCACGGGGAATGGACGTCCGAGCGGTGGCGAGCCAGTCGGATCCACTTCGTGAGCCCCCGCTCCCAGCCCGAGCGCGGCCCCCCCAGGTGCTGCACATCATCGAGAGTTTCAAGGCCGAGGGCGGGAGAGCGCGCGCGGCTGCGGGCCAGCAGCAAGACGATCGCCTCTCTGTGTGCGGCCGCGGGAGGAGGAGGAGGAGGAGGAGGAGGAGGAGGAGGAGGAGGAGGAGGAGGAGGAGGAGGAGGAGGAGGGGAAGGGGAGGTGGAGGAGGAGGAGGAGGAGGAGGATGAGAAGGAGGAGGAGGAGGAGGAGGAGAGGAGGAGGAGGAGGAGGAGGAGGAGGAGGAGGAGGAGGAGGCGGAGGAGGAGGAGGAGGAGAAGGAGGAGGAGGAGTAGGAGGAGGAGGAGGAGGAGGAGGAGAGGAGGAGGAGGAGGAGGAGGAGGAGGAGGAGGCGGAGGCGGGGCGGAGGCGGAGGAGGCGGAGGTGGAGGCGGAGGAAGAGGAGGAGGCGGAGGCGGAGGAGGAGGAGGAGGAGGCGGAGGAGGAGGAGGAGAAGGGGGGGGAGGAGGAGAAGGAGGATCGATCGGTCCACGGAGGCCCAGGCCTGGGCAGCCCTGGGACACGCTCCGGAGGAGAGGCCTGGAGCTCCCACATGCTCCGCCGCCCGAGCGGGGGCAGGCCAGCTCCTCACGGGGATCCTGCGTGGCCCCCTTCGAGGAGGAGGAGGAGAAGGAGGAGGAGGAGGAGGAGGAGGGAGGAGGAGGAGGAGCAGGATGAGGAGGAGGAGGAGGACGAGGAGGAGGACGAGATGCCCTTCGAAACTTCGTCATCTGATCACCAGCTCATGCCAGCGGGCCTTGGAGCGTCTCCTCTTGGCGCCCACGGCGCTCCTCGCTGGCAGAAAGCCCGCGGGGTTCTCGCAGTCAGGGCGATGTCTGTGCCCGGCCGATTTTTGCGCCATCGCCGTCGGCCGTCCAAGCCTTAGCTGGCCCGGGACAGTGTGACCTCGTCAGAGGGCCTGGGGTCTGACAGCCCGAAGAAGTACACCGCTGATGATATTTACCTCCGACGCGACTGACAAAACATCTGCCCCACTAGCAGGCACCCGCGGAAAATTCTTAGAAATCTAGATCGAGGGGGGCCCTCATGCGTTCATGTTGGCTCGATGGCGGTCGGGAACCTTTTGATCAGTTCTGGCCCACTACGTTCCGACGCGACACGCTGACCACGTCCTGGCCCCCGAACGTCAGCTTCCGAGCGTTTCGAAGCCTCCCGCTCCGCGGACCGGAGCGACACGCCACCCGCTTGCACGGCATAGCGCGTCGCTGGGACTGCCGCCGCGACACGCCAAACACAAGTTCCTGGCCGTATTTGCTTTCCTCTGTCTTCTTCTTCTCGTGAGATCTCTCACCCTGCACCTGTCTCTGCTGCACCTGTCTCTGCTGAGGCCGTGGTTCTCTCCATGGCCACCTGTCACTGCATTTCGAGCCTTGCGAGCAAAAAACAATCTCTCACCCTTGGCGTGGGCCATCGAGCTGCTTCCTCTTGAAAAAAAGCGGAAGGCGTATAGAGTCTGATCTAGCTCAATGCAGCGTTTCTCTCGCTGTTCGGCGGGAGTAAGCGGGGACACCTGGAGCGGGCTGGCCAGCTCTCGCAGTGCACCTGGCGCCCACGGATAGTTTTCTGAGATGCGGCGCAGTCGCGCGAGGAGGAGGAGGAGGCGGAGGAGGATAAGGAGGCGTACGAAAGATTAGAACATAATCGTGAACTAGCGATATTTGAAACCAGACTTGTGAGGCGGAAGAGGAGGATAAAGAGGAGACGGCTGCGGGGGGGAATAGGATGAGGAGGGGGGATTAGGGATGAATGTGGGTGGTGGGTGGGTGGCGGGAAAAAATAAGGGGTGGACATGATGACTCTGATGATGGTGGTGGTGATGATGGTTATGGTGATGGTGACTGTGATGGTGACGGTGATTGTGATCGTGATCGTAAAAGTAATAAACTGATGTTGGTGGCGGTGATGCTGTTGATCATGTTGATCATAATGGCGATGGTGGTGGTGATGGCGATGCGGCTGATGATGATGATGCTGATGCGAATGACGGTGCCGACGGTGATGATGATAACGATCACGACGTCGATGACCGTGATATGGTGCGAAAATGATGATCATGACTTAGGTCAGGATGCTGATGCTGGTGTTGGTGTTGATGCTGATGCTGTTGCTGATGATGATCATGATTACGTTGCCGATGATGATAGTGGTGATGCTGATGGTCATGCGGGCGACCATGATAATGATGCTGTTGATGATGATGATGATGAGGGCGCGAGGAGTTTATGCGAGAACGCGATAATCACATGTTCGAAATGGCCCGCCTTCCATCCGTGAGTATGTTGCGGACATTACAATCGAATGTGCGCGGCGCTGGGGCGAGAACCACATTTTGAGTTCGACCCGCCCTCCGTCCGTGAAGCTGTTGCAAATTTCAAGTTTCAGGACCACGAGTGGTGAGGAAATCTCAGGCGAAATGCCAGGCCTTCGCTACCAATAAGCTTGGGTGTGGGACAGGGAAAACGTACGTAAAGTAGCTGGGATGGAGGAGGGGGATGAGGAGGGGGAGGAGGTGGAGGGCAGGGCTGGAGGGCGGGAGGGGGACAGGGGACATGACATGAAGATAAGTGTTGGGCGAAGGGGGAAGGCAGGGAGGGAAAGCGGGGGAGGATTCAGGAGTGGAGGAGAGGGGGTGTGCCCGGACGGGGTTCATACCTTTCGCTTGGGATGGGAGTACGGGGGCTGCTCCAGTCGTTTCCCCGAGACTGGGGGCCAGGTCCGGTGGCAAATTTATGTCAAGGATGGAGTTCGTGCTTCTCGCCTGACAGTCCCTTGCTTGTGGTGTTGATGCTGGGCCCGGGCTCTGAGCACGCCCCCCCGAACTCCTCCACCACACGATTTCCTATCTTTCCTTGGAGGACGTTGTTGGTGGCCAGCGCGCTGGGTTGAGCTCGGCGCTGCCTTTTCGAAAGCCTTGCGAGGGCGACGAGCTCACGCAGTTCAAGAATGCCATCGATGAAGGAGGCCTCTCCTCTCTCTCTTTCTCTGTTTCGTTCTGTCTCATTCTCCCTCTCTCTCTCTCTTTCTCTTTCCTTATCTCTCTCTTCCGTGTGTGTTGTTATGTGTTGTTTTTGTTTGGTGGTCGTTTTATCTCCTTTGGAAATCTTTTATACATACGTACACACTGATCCCTGGGGATGGCCTGCCACATCTGACGTTTTTCAACCCTTGTAAGCGCACCCAACACTTGCAACAGGGCTACAGGACGGACCACAACGGCGTCCGTGGGCTGCATGACGGCTAGAATTGCCATATACAGCGTCTGAGTGGGCTCAGGATTGCCGAAGCGATCCCCAAGATGGCTCCAGAGGCCCCCAACAAGGCCCGAGACGGCCCCAAGAGAGCTCCTAAGAGCCTCCCAGTAGATGAGAAGATCTGCTTTCTTGGCGGTAGTTGGGTGAGGAGGAGGAGGAGGAGGAGGAGGAGGAGGAGGAGGAGGAGGAGGAGGGAGGAGGAGGAGGAGGAGGAGGAGGGAGGAGGAGGAGGAGGAGGGGAGGGGGAGAGGAGGAGGAGGAGGAGGAGGAGGAGGAGGAGGAGGAGGAGGAGGAGTCGGAACAGGAAAAGGAGGTGGAGGAGGAGGAAGACGAGGAGGAGGAGGAGGAGGAGAGGAGGAGGAGGAGGAGGAGGAGGAGGAGGAGGCGAGGGGGAGGAGGAGGAGAGAGGAGGAGGAGGGGAGGCGGAGGAGGCGGAGGAGGAGGAGGTGGAGGAGGAGGAGGAGGAGGAGGAGGAGGAGGAGGAGGACGGGGAGGAGGAGTCTAGGCGTTCTCCGAGGACGAGTGAGGCTCTCTTGGGCCTCAGATCGCCCCGAGAGGACCAGCAGGAGACGCCCAAGAGAGCTTCACTCGCCCTCAGAGAACGCCTTGACTCCGCCTCCTCCTCCTCCTCCTCGTCATCCTTCGCCCCCCCCCCCCACACCTCGCCCCTGCTTTCGCCCTCGACCCCCCTCAGCGCGTCACGTGGCTCTCCAGAGTCTCCTAGAACCTCCTAGGGTTGAATCGGGCCTGTCCCTCTAGAGGAGGAATGTTCAACAAAAAGTCAAGAAATGGTAGGGGGACGATTTTTGGACAATTTTGAATATTTTTGAATATTTTTGGCAATTTCTCTTTTCCCTCCACAATCAGCCTGTAGGGGGACATGTCCGACCTAGCTCCAGGATGGATGGACGGCTGATTGAGTGCATGTACCGCCCTCAGTGCCGACCGTCAAGTTCGAAAGAACGGCCACGTGGTCGGCGGCGCGCTCTCAGTGCGCTCTACGTTCTCCAGGTTCATAGTTTGACGAATGGTACTAACAGTTATAAAGGTAATGCGACTAGTTTCACTACTACTACTACTACTACTACTGCTGCTGCTGCTGCTACTACTACTACTACTATTACTACTACTACTACTACTACTACTACTACTACTACTACTACTACTACTACTACTACTACTACTACTACTACTACTACTACTACTACTACTACTACTACTACTACTACTACTACTACTACTACTACTACTACTACTACTACTACTACTACTACTACTACTACTACTACTACTACTACTACTACTACTACTACTACTACTACTACTACTACTACTACTACTACTACTACTACTTGTGCTACTACGACTACGTTAGCATTTTTCAACAAGTATGTCGTCCTCTTGTTCGCACACTTTGTGGTTACCATTTTTCTGTTTCTCTTCCCACTCTTTCCACTCCTGTGGTTATTTCCCTTCCCGCTTTCCCATTCCCCTTCACGGTCCTCTTCCGCGTGCCCTTTGGCTTGATCCAATCCTTCTGCTTCTGCGTAGCAATCTCTTTTTGCTGGTTTCAATGTACACATGTCAGGCATGGCAGGCGTCTATGCATGTGTATTGTCAGCAATCGGTGGATCATTTGGTTGGGATTTTGGGGCACCTCTGACACATCGTGTCCGACAAGCTGGCCCACGAGCTTGCAGAGTCTGCGGTACACAGGTGAGCTAAACAGAATCAGCAGTGAGAATCGGGCGCAGTTGCCAGGGTCGCGTCGGGAAAGCTCTCATTCTGCCGTCGTGCGCGTTGGGGTGGGCTGTGGGGTGGGCTCATTTGGGGATTTTATTGGTTGACGCCCACCCCAGCTTCCTCCTCCTGTTTTACTCTTGCGCCAGTGGCCAGGCGTAGACACGCAGGCTGCCGTGGCGGGCGAGGGGGGCACCTGTAAGAGGGCACGCAGGGGGGCGGACGGCGGCATTCGGGAGCTGATCGTCGCCCCTCGAAACGAGACACGGGGCAGGAGGCCTCCCACCCACAACGGCCCCGCCATGAGTCAAGCGCGCGTGCGCAGTGGCTGGGGCAAGCGCGCGTGCGCAGTGGCAGACGCCCAGACGTCGCCCGATCAGATTTTTCTCATCCGCGGACCCAGAGCTCCGGACCCCTATCCCTGGGGCAGTGCTTCGCCCCGAGTCCGTTTTCGATGGTCCCGGGGCCCGAGGTTCGGCCCCCGGAGGCTGGGATCGAGAAGCGTCGCTGGGATCGAGCCAAGCGCGTCGCCGGAGATCTGGGGCGGCAAGATCGCGGGGCTGGGCAGGCGACTACTTCAACTTGTACAAGGCGGCCGCGGCCGTGCCCCGTCCGGCCTCCTCTCTCCGTGCACGGGCTCGGGAGGGAGGGGCGCCGGGGCGGCCCGCGTGCAGAGGGTCGCGCGGTGGCGCCTCGCAGCACGGTGGTGTCGGTGTGCCTGTGGCTACAGTCGAGGCGCCGAAGTAAGGACCTCTGGGGGCTTATCGGGGGCGGCCAAGAGGGTCGTGATGACTAGGGGGCGTGGGTATCATGGCGTGGGCCAGGATGTTTCCCCAGATCTCGTGGCGCCTCCTCTTGTTTCGTGACGTCCCTGGCCCCGCCCCTGGGCCGCGCGCATGCCGGCCATGATGTGCGCCTCCCCCTCTTGGACGCCCCCCCTCTTGGCCGCCCCCGAGCTTAGGAGGGGCTCTGGTTTTCGGGCCGTTGCTCACGCGCAGGTCGGGGAGCCCGTGCGAAGCCGAGGCTCGCCGCGGCCAGAGGAGGCCCTTCGTTCCTCGTGTCGCGTTCCCCGTGGAAGCGCGACGATTGTGTGAGGACTGCGACGATGCTCCTGTGTATGAGCTTGATGATGACGATGATGATGATGATGATGATGATGATGACGACGATGACGATGATGATGATGACGATGATGATGATGGTGATGATGATGATGATGATGCCGCTGCTGCTGAGGATGCTGATGGTGATGGCGATGGTGATTAGGATTAGGATGTTGAGGATGAGGATGAGGATGACGATGATGAGCATGCTGACGCCGTGGTGGTGGTGGTGGTGATGATTCCGATGATGATGGTGATGGTAATGGTGGTGATGATGATGATAAGGATGATGAGGATGAGGATGAGGGTGATGATGAGGATGATGATGAGGATGAGATCGAGGATGATGATGCTGCTGCTGATGCTGATGATGCTGACGATGATGATGGTGATGACGATAATGCTAATGATGACGATGCTGACGACAACATTGATGTTGCTGCTGCTGATGCTCATGTTAATCATGATGTTGTTGCTGCTGCTGATGATGATGCTGCTGCTGACGATGATGATGCTGATCATCATGACGGCGCTGATGATTATGATTATGATAATGATGAGGAGGATGATAATGATGATTATGCTGATGCTGATAATGATGATGATGAGGATGAGGTTGAGGATGAGGGTGACGATGCTGATGCTGCCGCTGATAATGATGATGATGATGATGAGGATGACGATGCTGATGATGATACTTACGATGATGACGACAACATTGATGTTGCTGCTGCTGCTGATGTTGCTATTGATGTTGATGTCGCTGCTGCTGATGATGATGATGCCGCTGCTGCTGAGGATGCTGATGGTGATGGCGATGGTGATGCTGTTGATGATGCTGATGATGCTGTTGATGATCACGATGAGGATGATTAGATGATGATGACGATGCTGCTGCTGATGACGATGATGATGATTGTAATGATGATGTTGAGTATGATGATGCTGCTAATGATGATGACGATGATGCTGCTGCTGATAGCTATGATGCTGATGCTGATGATGTTACGATGACGATGATGATGACGATGATGATGATGATGATGATGATACTGATGATGATGCTGATGATGATGATGATGAGGATGCTGACGATGCTATTGCTGATGATGATGACGATGCTGCTGCTGCAGATGATGCTGCTGATGCTGATGATGCTGCTGCTGCTGATGATGATGATTGTAATGCTGATGATGATGATAACGATATTGATGATGATTATGTTGCTGCTGATGATGATGGTGCTGATGATGCTGATTATGACGATGCTGCTGATGATGATGATGACGATGATGCTGCTGCTGATGACGATGCTGATGATGATGATGATGATGATGATGATGATGATGATGACGATGATGTTGATGGTGATGATGATGATGCTGATGGTGATGCTGCTGATGCTGATGATAATGATTGTGGTGATAAGGATGCTGATGATGCTGATGATGATGATGATGATGATGTTGATGATGATGATGATGATGATGATTATGAGGAGGCTGATGCTGATGATGATGGTGATGCTGATGCTGATGATGATGTTGCTGATGATGATGATGCTGATGATGATGATGATGATGATGGTGGTGGTGGTGCTGGTGATGATGATGCTGATGATGCTGATGATGATGATGATGATGATTATGATGATGATGATGATGTTGATGATGATGATGATGATGATGATGATGATGATGATGCTGATGCTGCTGCTGCTGCTGCTGATGATGATGATGATGATGATGATGATGATGATGATGATGATGATGATGATGATGATGATGATGGACAGAAGGGGACGCAGGAGGTGGTGGAGGAGGAGGAGGAGGAAGACGAGGAGGAGGAGGAGGATGAGGAGGAGGAGGAGCAGGAGGAGCAGGAGGAGGAGGGGGAGGAAGAGGAGGAGAAGGAGGAGGAGGATGAGATGGAGGAAGAGGAGGAGGAGGAGGACGAGGAGGAGGAGGAGGAGGAGGTGGAGGAAGAGTGGGGTGGGCAGACTCACTGGGGCTCAAGGCTTCGCGTCCCCGGAGGGAAAACGAACAGGAGGAGTGGGATGGAGACGAACAGTGGAAGGAGCAGGGGTGGAAGGGACGTCCCGGGGAGGGGACGGAGGAGGGGGTTGGCTCTTCTTCTTCCTCTCCTCTTTCTCTTCTTCCCGCTTCTCTCTCCTTTCCTCTCCCCCCCCTCTTCCTCGTCCTCATCCTCTTCCTTCCTGCCGTGCGGGAGAGTGAACCCCCTTTTCCCCCGTCTTCCTTCCTGTCTCTCCTTCCCCGCCACCTGTTTTGGGGCCTCCTGGATGTTCCTCTTCGCCACGGCCCGGCTGGACCCGCTTCGAAATCGGGGGGAGGAGAGGGTGCGAGGGAGGGCAACGGAGGAGCGGAAAGGGCGGGAGGGAGAGGGGAGATGCACAGGGGGAGGGTCCCCCCCCATCCTCTGCCCCCTCTCCCTCTCCCCTCCCCTCCCCTCCTCCTCCCCGCCTCTCCCTCTCCCCTCTCCCTCTCCCTCTCCCTCTCCCCTCCACAATTACTCAATATGAATATACTCTCCCTCTTCCCCTAATGGCGTCCGGGTGATGGCCGCGCACCCTCCGCGTACTGTTTTTTAACGCACAGGATGCCCGGGAAATCCCGGGAAACGACTCTCGCTGAGGCGCCGGCGTCATTTTTTCCCAAAATGCTGCTCTCGCGCCGGCGTCATTTTTTCCCAAAATGCTGCTCTCGTTGAGGCGCTGGCCTCATTTCTGCTCCCGAATCCTTCCCCTGATGGCGTCCGGGTGATGGCCGCGCACCCTCCGCGTACTGTTTTTTACACACAGGATGCCCGGGAAATCCCGGGAAACGACTCTCGCTGAGGCGCCGGCGTCATTTTTTCCCAAAATGCTGCTCTCGTTGAGGCGCCGGCCTCATTTCTGCTCCCGAATCGTTCCGAATCGTGCTCCCGCTGCAGCGTGGGCCTCATTTTCGGATCGGTGTTTGGCCTCCGTCGTTCAGGATGGCGTTCTCGCCCCAGCGCGGGCCTTTTTCTCGCGCGCCCATCCGCCCGCCACCACCGCGCCGCACCGCCACCACCACCACCACCACCACCACCACCACCACCACCACCACCACCACCACCACCACCAGCACAACAACACCACCACCACCACCCACCACCACCACCACACCACCACCACCACCACCACCACCACCCCCACACCACACACCACCCCACACCACCACCAGCACCAACCCCAGTACCAACACCACCACCACCACCACACACCCCACACCACCACCACCACCACCACCACCACCACCACCACCACCACCACCACCACCACCACCACCACCACCACCACCACCACCACCACCCACCACCACCACACACCACCACCACCACCACCACCACCACCACCACCACCACCACCACCACCACCACCACCACCACCACCACCACCACCACGACAACCACGCACACACGCACGCACGCACGCACGTGCACCACCACCCACTACGCACGCGCGCGCGGAGCCACAGGTCCGCTACGACACGCGTCCGCGGATAGAGAAAATCAGCGCCATGGTAAGGGATGGGAGGGAGGGGTAGGACGTCAGATATGACGCGAGCGCACCTAGCTTGCCTCCCCCCCTCCCTCCCCTCCTCCCTCTCCCCTCCCCTCCCCTCCCCTCCCCTCCCCTCCTCTCCCCTCCCCTCCCTCTCCCTCTCCCTCTCCCCTCTCCCAGCCTCTCCCCTCCCCTCCCTTCTTCTCTTCGTCAGAGTCCGAGTCCTTGCTGGGACGGCGTGTTGCCTTCCATGCGCTGCGCTGCTTGTGGCGCCTCCTCCAGGGCGAATGACTCGGCGCTGCATGATGATCACACCTGCAAGAAGGCATGCCGCCCATGACCTGCCGGACGAAGGACGCGGAATCACAGACGCGTTGTTGCACGACGGGGGGCCACCGTCCCATGTCCCCACGAGCCTATCGCACCAGACCTGTTGCACCGCCCCTTTGCAGCTGGACCCCGTGTTGGGTCCACCGGCTCCTCGGAGCCATCTCCCCGACGACGCTGAGCAGCACTTCTCGAGATGGGGGCGCGGGGGGCTCCCGAGCCCGCGCCCCGCCCGCCGCGGGCCCGCGGCCCGCCGCCCCGCCCGCCCGCCCGCCCAGCTGGTGTACAAGGACGTCGTGGACGCGCAGATCCGCGAGGAGGGGCGCCCTCCTCCTCCTCCTCCTCCTCCTCCTCCTCCTCCTCCTCCTCCTCCTCCTCCTCCTCCTTAGGACCTTAGGAAAAACGTTACACGGTCCCTCCATTTGTTTCCCTTACAGGTGGGGCCTCCCTGTCGCACCCCGAGGCCGGTCGAAAGGGCGGGCCGAGCGGTTCGCTTGAGATACCTTCGCCGTCTGTGATCCTGACGCTTCAAATTGTACAACAGCTTCACGGATGGGCCATATTGTTTTTCATTATACTCGGTCGCCTTGAGATAGCACAGGCCAAAAACGACTTGTGCTATTGCAGTCGCTCGCGTTTGACGTATAGTAAATCTTCGAACGCCGAGTTTTTTCGCATCTTCTGAAACCCAAGTCATGATGTCTCGGCTACTTTTGCAATTTTGTGCTCCGGGGACATCGAGAACGGCCCCTGTCCAAGTTTCTGCGTGCTATCTCGCCCCCTGTGTTGTGCTATGTGCGCGCTGTGCTATCCTCGCCCCTCCCCCCCATGATCCTCCCTGTCGCACCCTGAGGCCAGTTTTTAGGGTGGGTCGGGCGTATCGCCTGAGACTTCCCCACCACCTATGACTCTGAAGCTTAAAAAGGATCCCTGCGCTCCAGGAGGACCCGCGCCGCCGACACCAGAGAACCCCGCGACAGATGGCGAGGTGGGGTCGGTGGCTGGGATGTAGGGCGGGTCCGTTCTCTTCTCTTCCCTTCTCCTCCTCCTCCTCCTCCTCCTCCTCCTCACCCTCCTCCGCCTTCTCCCCCCCCGCCTCGCTCTCTCCCTCGCCCCCCTCCCCCCCCATCCCCCCGCCCCCCCGCACGCGTAGCATAGCACGCGGCCAGCATAGCACAACTCAGGAGAGCCCCCCTCTCTCGCCGCCAGGGCGGCGCTTTTTGGGGCGAGGTTTCTCCGATACATCCCCCTTCTCTCTTTGTTCCTTCTCTTTATCTCCCCCCATCCCTTCGGCCGGCGGGGTCGAGAGGATCCGCGCGAAATGCGCGGAGGATCCGCGCGAAATGCGCGCGAGGCTGAGGCAGGCCGAGGCTGGGGCTGAGGCAGGCTGAGGTTGAGGCTGAGGCAGGCTGAGGCTGAGGCCGAGGCTGAAGGCAGACTGAGGCTGAGGCTGAAGCAGGCTGAGGCTGAGGCTGAGGCAGGCTGAGGTTCGCTCTCTCCGCACGCGGCTCGCATAGCACAACTCAGGAGAGCCCCCCCCCTCTCTCGCCGCCAGGGCGGCGCTTTTTGAGGCGAGGTTTCTCCGATGCATCCCCCTTCTCTCTTTGTTCCCTCTCTTTATCTCCCCCCATCCCCTCGGCCGGCGGGGTCGAGAGGATCCGCGCGAAATGCGCGCGAGGCTGAGGCAGGCCGAGGCTGAGGCTGAGGCGGGCTGAGGCTGAGGCTGAGGCAGGCTGAGGCAGGCTGAGGCTGAGGCCGAGGCTGAAGGCAGACTGAGGCTGAGGCTGAAGCAGGCTGAGGCTGAGGCTGAGGCAGGCTGAGGCTCGCTCTCTCCCTCGCCCCCTCCCCCCCATCCCCCCTCCCCCCCCGCGCGCGTAGCATGGCGCGCGGCTCGCATAGCACAACTCAGGAGAGCCCCCCTCTCTCGCCGCCAGGGCGGCGCTTTTTGGGGCGAGGTTTCTCCGATACATCCCCCTTCTCTCCTTGTTCCCTCTCTTTATCTCCCCCGGTCCCCTCGGCCGGCGGGGTCGAGAGGATCCGCGCGAAATTAGCGCGAGGCTGAGGCAGGCCGAGGCTGAGGCTGAGGCGGCTGAGGCTGAGGGCAAGGCTGATGCTTGAGGCAGGTGTGGGGGGGGGGGGGGGAAAAGGGCCGGGCTGAGGCTGAAGCCCGAGGCTGAAGGCAGACTGAGGCTGAGGCTGAAGCAGGCTGAGGCTGAGGCTGAGGCAGGCTGAGGCTCGCTCTCTCCCTCGCCCCCTCCCCCCTCCCCCCTCCCCCCCGCACGCGTAGCATAGCACGCGGCTCGCATAGCACAACTCAGGAGAGCCCCCTTCTCTCGCCGCCAGGGCGGCGCTTTTGGGGGCGGGTGGCTCCGATACATCCCCCTTTTCTCTTTGTTTTTCCCCTCTCTTTATCTCCCCCCTCCCCTCGGCCTCGGGGTCGATGAGGATCCCGCTGGCGAAATGCGCCGCGAGGACTGGGCAGACGAGGCCCTGAGGCTGATGCAGGCTGAGGCTGATGCAAGCTGAGGCTGAGGCAGGCTGAGGCTGAGGCCGAGGCTGAAGGCAGACTGAGGCTGAGGCTGAAGCAGGCTGAGGCTGAGGCTCAGGCAGGCTGAGGCTCGCTCTCTCCCTCGCCCCCTCCCCCCCTCCCTCCTTCCCCCCCGCGCGCGTAGCATGGCACGCGGCTCGCATAGCACAACTCAGGAAAGCCCCCCTCTCTCGCCGCCAGGGCGGCGCTTTTTGGGGCGAGGGCTCTCCGATACATCCCCTTTCTCTCTTTGTTCCCTCTCTTTATCTCCCCCCATCCCCTCGGCCGGCGGGGTCGAGAGGATCCGCGCGAAATGCGCGCGAGGCTGAGGCGGAGGCCGTAGGCTATGAGGCTGAGGCAGGCTGAGGCTGAGGCAGGCTGAGGCTGAGGCAGGCTGAGGCTGAGGCCGAGGCTGAAGGCAGACTGAGGCTGAGGCTGAAGCAGGCTGAGGCTGAGGCTGAGGCAGGCTGAGGCTCGTTCTCTCCCTCGCCCCCTCCCCCCCTCCCCCCTCCCCCCCGCGCGCGTAGCATGGCACGCGGCTCGCATAGCACAACTCAGGAGAGCCCCCCTCTCTCGCCGCCAGGGCGGCGCTTTTTGGGGCGAGGGGTCTCCGATACATCCCCCTTCTCTCTTTGTTCCCTCTCTTTATCTCCCCCCATCCCATCGGCCGGCGGGGTCGAGAGGATCCGCGCGAAATGCGCGCGAAGCTGAGGCAGGCCGAGGCTGAGGCTGAGGCAGGCTGAGGCTGAGGCTGAGGCAAGCTGAGGCTGAGGCCTTGAGGCACGCAGGCTGAGGCAGAGCTGAGGCGAGGCCGAGGCTGAAGGACTAACTGAGCTTAGGCTGAAGGCAGGCTGAGCTTGATAGGCTCAGGCAGGCTGAGGCTCGCTTCTGTTGGCTCCCCCTTCCCCCCGCCCTCCCCGTACCCCCCCGCACGCGTAGCTCTCACGCGGCTCGCTAGCACACTCAGAGAGCCCCCCTCTCTCGCCGCCAGGGCGGCGCTTTTTGGGGCGAGGTTTCTCCGATACATCCCCCTTCTCTCTTTGTTCCCTCTCTTTATCTCCCCCCATCCCTCGGCCGGCGGGGTCGAGAGGATCCGCGCGAAACGCGCCCGACATAGCACAAGTCGGGCTCGGAAAAGAACGTTCTCGATCCAAAACATGGAAATTATTTTTCATATGCCAAACTCGCTTTCACGATTTGTGCTATGTCGTTCGTGCCATCCTCGAGCGACCGAGTATACTGGCGGCGAGCTCGTCCGCCACGCGATTGACATAGAAAAAAAGTGGCAAGGGAACCTGCGGCCGATTCATATGCTGGCCAGATGCGGCCCTCCACCATCCATCGGCGGCTGGAGACGCATGGGGCTGGGTCAAAGTTGTGGTACAATGAGCCGCCGCGCAAGGTGTTGCCATGGCTGGGCGCGAGCAGTTCGACTACCCCCCCTCCTTCCTCCTCCTCAGGGTGGAGGTGGTGGGTCGGGGGCTGCGTCGGGTCGAGAGCAACGGGATAGGCCCAGCTGGCCGCGGGCGCGCCGCCAACGGCAGCCTTGCGGGCCTCTGGATCCATCCCAACAGCGCGACCCTGCAGGGACACCAGCTAATGCGGGCAGCGGTCTTTCTCCCGACGTTCATACAGCCTGAGCCCCCGAGAAGCCCACACGTGAGTGTCGGTTTGGGTTGCGTGGGATACGCCTTTGAACTTGTTTTTCTTTGGCTCGGCCTGGTCAAGGGCTTTCTCCGAAGGTCCCGCTGAGTCGTCAGAAGAAGCGGGCGCTCGAGTTGAAGTTCCTCTGCAGGCCAACGCAGTGTACAAGGTGGGCGGTCGGGCCCTGGGCGGCCCAGTCGCCCTAGGCTCTGGTCAATGTGCTTGTGCCTAAGGCTCGGCACCTTAGGCCCCCGCCCCCTAACCACCTCCCCGCTATAGTAATGTTGGGAGAGTTGCTCCGACTGGAAACGTTGCTCGCCCAATTCGGTCTCCAGGAGGGCCGCACGTGCCAGGCGCGCGCCAGGCACCCGTTGGGGCCCAAGCGTGTCAGGTGCGCCTGGGGCGCCAGATGCGCGATGTGCGCGCCGCGTGCTCCAGCCGCACCAGGTGCGCCACGTTCGGGGCACGCGCAGAGCGTGCCAGGTGCGCCCGCGCACGTGACAGCGCACATCGGGAAACATGTCGGCCCCCACCGTCCTTGTCGAAAGCGTGTGCGCTATCGCGTCGGGGTGGCCATCATGGTGTCTGGTGGGCCTGCACACAGCAGGCAATCTGCCAGCACACCCGCCACCCTTGCCAAAACTGATGCAAGGTAACCACGGGGTGACCACGCATGATCCGTATTGATTAGTGATATGCAGGTTGTATTTGTTTGGCATGGGTGGTGGCCCTATGCGCAGCAGGCAATGTGATACCCCCGCCGTCTCTGTCGACAAACCATACAAAATGCTTACGGGGCCCACGGACATGACCCAGGAGGTTGACCCATCATGTATGATGTGTCTTTGTTATGACACTTGCAATGAGGGGTGTCGTTGTTCATGTTCGGCTGCCGGCTGCCTGGAGGAATGTTGTTTCCCCCAATCAGGGGGCAGTGATACGCCCCTCCCGGAAAGGGAAGAAAAGGCTTGATGAGGAAACCCATTAAACTACTCACGCCCAAAAGGCTTGATGAGGAAACCCACTAAACTACTCGTCGTCGGTCTCCTCCGTCTTCCCCTCTTCCCTTCCCCCTTTCTCCCTCCCGCCCCTCAGGGCCGGGTCGGGTGAGTCGGGACGGGCTTGGCCGGGCTGGGCCGGGCCGGG